AAACTTCTCAGGGTTCTCTAGCATGCAGCCATGGTAGTTAGACTGGAATCATAGGGCTATAATGGTGCAGTGTGAACAGATCCCAGGAAACCAGGGCCCAATTGCCTGTTCAGCTATGGAAACCCTATAGGTTTCCTTGAGCAAAGAGTACTCTCTCATCCTCAGAGGCAAATTCTTTGGAATAATTCTTGCCCAAAGAACCCAATAGGCCTTTGCAGACTGCCAGAAATAGTGCAAATTGAGCCCACTTGATCTGCCCTGACTCAGTGCTAGGGAATCATGGGAACTGTAGTTTATTGTGGCACCAGAGCTCTCTGACTGAGAAGGTTCAATGTCTCAGAAAAAAAATACAGTTCCCATGATTCCCTAGCACTGAGCTAGGGCAGTTAAAGTGGACTCAATTTGCACTATTTCTAGCAGTCTGCAAAAAAGGTATGCTAGGAGGGTCTCCATAAGTCAGAGCTGACTTAAAGACAGGCAACAAATACTTGTAGGGCCAGTTCCTCCTCCTCCTCCTCACCTTGGCCCCTGCAGCTCTTTCCATATAAGATTTGGGAAGTGGGGTATAAAAGAATACATTTGTATCTGTTTGCTGTCAGATTGTGGACATACAGTATTTGTTTCTCCTTTTGCTTTCACTGCTTTCCTGAGAGGAGTTGTTGTTGTTGTTGTTGTGTGCCTTCAAGTCACTTCTGATTTATGGCAACACTAAGGTGAACCTATCATGGGTTTTTCTTGGCAATATTTGTTCAGAGGAGGTTTGCCATTGCCGTCCGCTGAGGCTGAGAGAGTGAGACTTGCCCAAGGTCACCCAATAGGTTTCCATGGCCAAGCCAGGATTTGAACTCTGGTCTCCAGAGTCATAAACCAGTGCTCAAACCACTAAACCACACTGGCTTCCAGAGAGTCCCCTCTGCCAAATTACTTCTCTTGTTTTGCTACAGCTCTGTGCATTACGCTGTGTCAGGAGTGTGGAACAGGTGGCCTTCTTGCTGTTGCTGAAACAACTCCCATCAGTCCCTGTGGAGATAGGCAACAGAGAGGAGCAATGGGGGTTACAGTCCAACAACATCTGGAGGGCCATACATTTCTTCATTCTTCTTTTGTTCCATTGGAATCGTGGAGCATTTCACTGAGCATTTTTCTACTTGTCTGTTGTCCTTATTTGTTTATTTCTTTCAGTCCGATTTATCATTATACATTTGTCCCTCCCAGTTTGCAGGGGATCCGTTCCCGACCCTCTTGCGAATTGGGAAAATTGCAAATATCCAAGCCCCACTGATTTGAATGGTGGCGCGTACCCTGGGCGCACGCACCATTTTGTCCCTCCCTGCTTGCCGTCTGCGAAGGACCAAGACCACAGACTCCAAGTCCACGAATGGGGAAAGATGAGTGTATTTATTTATAGGTGATATTTACATTTATTTATAGGCCCTTCCTCCAGTACAGTACCCCTTAAACAATCATTTCATTATTATTTTCCCCATTTCTCTACCCCACTCCATTTTATTCAGAGAAACTTTAAAATTCATGTATTTATTTCTTGCATTGGCTTGATAATTCTTCTCCCTGTCCTTGGATACCAGGAAACCAATGTTACAGGATTTCCTGCACTGCAAAGGGTTGGCCCTTGCGGTCTTTTCCAGCTCTATGATTCTATAGAGTTTATCACACGGGGGGTGGGGACTGGGACTTTAAACAGCGATTAACCTGAGAAAATCACACAATTGACATTAAAATGTGATTAAAATTAGATTAAGACAAGAGCCATTATCCTGTGAATA